GATCAACGCCTTATCAGGAGTGGCCAACCATAATAATCCCATCCTTCTACATAGAGCTTTAAAAAAACATGTACAATAAGCTAGAAGTAATCTATCTTCCAAGTAGTATTACCCCTGAGTTATTTGATGTATTTTAGACCATACTATTCATACATTCTTTAAATTGCTTGAGCTCCTCTCAAGAAATCTGTTGTTTGAATTTTTCATTTTGTATTTCTAAACTATAAAGTCCTGGTAAATTTGAGATCAGGATAGTCCGTTTCTCTCAGGGTGGAGAATTACTAACAGGAAATGCCTTGTACATGCTCCTACATGCTCAGCCCACATAATATAATATTAGGCCACAATAATTAGGCTACATCTGGTAGGTTGATTCATTAGATGAATAAAGAGTTYAAAAGTTTCACCAGTCATATTCTGCTGCTCTGAATGATCCATTTGTGTAAAATGTTTGTAATGACCCTCTTTGAAAGCAAGGCCACAGATCAGCAGCGAGCATCTCTTCCTGTTCAGAAACCACAGATGTAGTGCAGTGTGCAAGTTGGATAGAAACTTTAACTTTTAACGTCAGACTTGGCTTAGTGTCACTCCGATCGTCAGCCTTTTACAAAAAAAATGTTAAAAGGTTGTATTTGCTACTAAATGCGAAGTAATTATATTTTGATCAGATGTGCTCATTTACACTTTTTGCCCCATCAAAATCATGTTTTTTCATTCTTATATTTCAAGTTATCATATACTGTATTATGCAAATGTTTTAGGGCCTTTATGTTTTGATAGGTCAAWTAAAAAATACATCAGAGACATATCTCCTGGGTATATGCAGAGTTTTCAGCTAATAGATCTGTGGGAGGCTCCTTGTTGATGTTAAAATTTAGGGTCAAACTGGTATATTCTATCGATTCAACCAAAAAAAATGAACACAGCACATCTTTCTTACAGGCTGTTGATTGCAAAGGGTCTAAAAATCCAGTAAAAAGTAGTTTTTCTTAATTTAATTTAATTTTATTATTATTTATCATCAT